ACCACCGACGACGACTACTACTACTACTACTACTACTACTACTACTTCTACTTCTACCACCACCACTATCACTACATACTCCTACTCCTACTATTACTACTACTACTACTACTACCACCACCACCTCTACCACTACCACTACCACTACCACTACCACTACCACTACCACTACCACTACTACTACTACTACCACCACCACGACTAGTAGTAGTAGTAGTAGTAGTAGTAGTAGCAGTACTACTACTACTACTACTACTACTACTACTACTTCCAGTGGTAAGTATGTGGTATGCGGTATGCGTTATTGGTGGTGGTCGTGGTAGTGGTGGGGGCGGTTGGGGTGGCCGCGGCGGCGGCGGCGGCGGCTTCGGCGGTGGTGGTGGTAGTGGTGGTGGTGGTTTGTTGTTGTGGTCGTGGTCGTCGTCGCCGTCGTAATCATCGTCGTCGTATTCGGATGCCTGTGAACACTATCGTGAGAACAGCCATAACAATCACGGGAAAACCCAGTCAAACACCATTACTCGTGTAGAAACTTTTGATCGAATCACCGAACTCTCAGGCTCTGTTCTTCTCGGGAATTAGATGTTGATTCATGAGTGTGTATTTTCGTCGCACATGTGTGCGGAAGTTGGGTCCACAGACTAGCTTTCCTGCGAAGGTTTCAGCCTAGACTAGTCCCGCACATTCCGCTCAGCTCGGCGGGGGTTCATGCAAGGTTCGGCGCGTTAATTCTCACCGGTCGCGTGCTTGTCTTGCGCAATCCTGGCCTGCAGGGATGTGCATACGAGCACGATGCTTCCAGCGGCACAGACTTCCGCGAGGTGTCTCTCGTTTTCTCTGCCCGCTGCATGGCAGCATTTCTGTAGAGGACCTGACTTTTAAAAGTTAACCCTCGCCCAGACTCTGGGGTCCGACATGCTCCAAGGCAGTGGTCTCAAGCCCTCCACATCCTACCAACTGGTTCTGGACCTGGTTGCCTTCACAGCAAGTTCGGCCTCTGCAGCGAAGCCTCCGGAGGGACTCCTGCAGCTGTGACTTCGCCGTGAATATATTCATCTGAAAGATCGTATCTTGCACATGGCTGGGACTAGTGGTATGAGCAACAGTAGGGAACACATAAGAGCGCTGGTGCGTTCGTCCACTTCTGCCAGTAGTTCTGTGGCAGTAGTCAGGAGACGCAAGGAGCAGGAGCAGCAACAATCGGAGCAATGCAGGAAGATATCCTTTCGGCCAATGCAGCACCCATGAACATTCAGCCCTTTCCTATTCCCACCAGCATCGCAGGATCCAGAACAAAGCCATGAGGTGCATAGACATCAAGACTGAGGTTGTGTTGTATGTCTCGTACAACAGAACATGCGGCAAAGTTGTGCTTGCCATGGTGATCCTGCGTGCAGTTGACGGTCTGTTTCGCCAAAGCCCCGAAAGGTTTGTCGGCATATCCCACTCTATTGTAACTGTAGTCGACCAGGCTGCGGCGACGAGTCCGGCAAGAGTGCAGGGAATTGTTGCACTGCATCACCTTTACTGAGGAAGGGAGATACGTAATTGTGGTTGCTGTTCCTGTGTCGGTGTCATGGATCGTACCAGATGCCGGCAACATCCGCTCATGCTTACTCGTAGCAAAACGATTGGTCTCAGATGCTTCCTCGGGGATGCCAGCAGCCAGCTGTGAGTCGCCAGGTGGGCCATGGATGACCTCACTGCGAAGCCGTTTGGTTGCTTGGCATGAAATGAATTCGCTCGCACCTGTGAGCACAGATAAAGTCGGTACAAGGTCGGTGCGTCACAGCACCAGGAAGTCCAGCCTCTGCATACCAAGCTTGCCGCTATCATGGCGGAACATATCAACAAAGCATCCAGTCGTGCCGAACTGGCAAGCGCAGGTATCTACAAGAGTTTGCAGCCACACCAGATTTGCGCAATGAACATGTTGCCAATGCCCCGGCAGCATGAAACCAGAGAGTTGATCACCATCCACAACATGGCGCAGAACCGGCGTAGTTGCCTGTCTCTGCCCGTCCCCACTCATTTGTTTCCTGTATACTCCGAGGAGTCATCGAGTACGCGCCCGCTTGGCTCGAGGAGGACATTCTCACAGGCAGAGCCCTGAAGTTTTGGTTGTTACCGTTCGTCGTTGTGGTGGGCGATAGTTCATCTTCCTGCAGATGGGCTGAATTTCAAGAAACAAGAAGAGGCTCCTAAGTTCCAGCCTTCGGGTGCAAAAAAGGCATGTTCCTTCGCCTTCAGGTGCCACTGGCTCGGCACCCCGCTTCCACGTGGCAGGGGGTGCCGAAATCCTTGAGGAGGGTGGCAGCGATGTGCTCCCCAGCTGCGACGCTTTCGATTCGCTCAGGCAAGCTGTTTTGTCGTGAAGCACCAAGGATTGACCTCGCTGCGCAAGGCAACACTGCCAGCATCGGTTTGAGGCGGGCGAAGCCGAATTCTTCTAGCCCGGAGCTGAACCTCAGCGTGCGTCCGAGGCTTCGTGCGGAAGCCGGTGCTAACATCGTGACTGGTGGACGACTGCACATTTTTTTCTGGCCTCTGCACCTTGGTCTGATGTCGAAGTCTAAACTCCAGGGGCATCCTCGGACTTCGGCGACCAACATGATCCGCGGCCATATTGCTTTTCGCAGACGTTCCCCTGTTCCACCGGGTCTGATCTCAATCAATGTCGGGATGGCTAGGGTGTAGTGGTTTTCACTGCCATCATCTCCCGCCGTTGTCGTCGGCGTCGCCTTTGTCCTCATCGATAGTAGCCTGATGCCTAGTAGTCACGTCATGCCACATTATCACCCTCATGGTCATGCACATCCTGCTCCTGTTCACCATGAACCGGCGCAAAAACTACCGGAGTTATCGGCACCATCGCCATGATCAGCATCTTCACCTTGTCTTTCGCGTCATGACCAACAGCATCAGCTTCATCATCCTCGCCATCGTCATCGTCATCGTCATCGCCATCACAGCATCACAACATACATCATAGCCGTCATCATCGTCACCATCATCATCATCACCACCACCATCGCAAGTATCATCATCATCATCATCGTCATCATCATCATCATAATCCTCCTCCTCCTCATCATCATCCTCGTCATCATCATCATCGTCATCGTCATCATCATCATCATCATCATCATCATCATCTGATGATGATGAAGGTGATGCTGGTGTTGGTGATGATGCTGCCGCCGTCGCTGCATTTGCCATCCAGCCACTGCAGGCACCACCCTCCGTCTTGCAAATGCTATGCACGGAGCCACTTGCAGTCTCGTGGGACTGCAGCATACTGCAGCTAAGGACACAGTGGCACCTGAACGAAGCCTGTGCTGCCGAGCGCCGGGGCTTGACAATGCGAGGCAGATTTATCAGGCCGAAATCCCAGGCAACCTGAACAACTGGCACAGTGCCGACACACGGAGCCGAGAGTACCGTGTACCACAACCATAAAACGCTACACAGCGGTGCGGCTCGTTTGCTTGGGGGGCTGCGGGGCATTCGGGGCTATGAGATACCGTTGTAATAGAGTGCGCGCGCACGTTGTGATAAATTGCCGAAGGCACCGTGCTCACGTTCATATTCAGGTGCCTGCCATTCCTCGGGACGGCATGTGCCGCCCCGGCTTGTGCAACACAGGCTCCGGTCCGAAGTAGCCTTGCGAAAATGGGCAAGGAGTTTGGGACTTTGGACCAAAGTTAGGTTAAGCTTTTGTCCCCTGGTCACTGTGATTTGAAAGCGCAAGCCGCAAGCCAAAGGTTAGAGCGGATGCGCTTTGGAGCCCCAACACATGTGGACAGACTGCACTTCTGAATAGAGGTCGAAGAACGATGCAGCGGGAGCGGGGGGTTCCCCCTTTCTAGGGTTGAGCTTTAGAAAAAGGTTTGTGAAATGGTGGAAGTGAGTCACTCAACATGATACTGGTCCGTTTTATTGAAAGGCTGACGACTGCACCGGCAAGCGTTGAGTGTTCACCATAGTTGAGGGAGAAGCTGCTGCTGCGCAGTTTCCGGTACTGTCCACGTCTCCCGTCCACGGCGGTTTACCGCGGAGTTTGGCGGCTTTGCCGTCCCTTCCAGGTGTTGGCCATGCGGCGTTGCTCCCTGAGACTGGCCACCCGGTCGCACCGCTTCCATTGCTTCTTCAGGCCTTCTTCCGAAGCTTGCCCGAACTTTGAATGTTTCCGTATGGACAGAGTGAGGTGTTTGGAGACATGGAGCCCATCACCGAGACGGTCCAGCACACTGTTCGGCTGCTCCTTGGTCAGCATGTCTGTGTTTGCATCTATATATCTGCCTCAGATCGTGCGAGACAGATGGAGAAGGACAGAGAGAGAGAGAGAGAGAGAGTGCATTTTCCCTTTCTGGCACCCGCAACAGTCGAGGGCGCACTGGCGCGGTGAGGGGGGCAACCCTTCTCACCACAACCCTGGCGAAACAGAGAGAGAGAGAGAGAGAGAGAGAGAAAGGGGAAGCAACAAAAACAAGAAGCAGGCGGACGGACAGACAGGGCGACAGGGCATCGGATCGATATGGGGGACCGAGAAAGGCAGGCAGAACAGCAGCAAGGGATGCAGGGAGGAACTTCAACGAAAGGTGGGCAAGGAGAGAGGGCATTCTGATAGCACCACCGTACGCGAGACAGCCATGATTTCAGTGCTTTGCAACTTCGCATATGCATTTAGGGTGTCCTTGGTGCCGCCCCCCGGTGGCTTCTTTGCGGCGGCCGCGGGAGCTGAGCTCCGTTCCTCCGCTGGCGTGGAGCCGAGCTACCGCACCACAACAGGTGGGGCAGAGTGGAAGCTTCCCGAACTCAAGAGTCCAGAGAAGTCCAGAGTCATTTTTGCAGTTCCTCCGTAGCCCTTGAAGCGCGCAGACGCGCGGAAGGTGCACTGCTTTTCGCACCACCTTCGGCAGCCGGCTCGGTGACTCTCCTGCACTGTAGCGAAAGCTAGACTTGGGAGCACCGGCCAGGGTTTCATTCAGGGTTTCACTGGCTTCAGCGCCTTAACCCCCAAAAGACATGTCGTTCAAGGTCATGGCCGGCCTGGGGGAGGACCACCCCTTCCGCGGGGATCGCCAGAATAGCATCTTCCTGAGGCCTTCCGGTTTAGGGATCTTCGGGTTTGTTACAGAATAGGGCTTTGGGGCGTTCAGGGCTCCTATATCGGTCCGTGACTGAAGTCAGCAGCTGCTTATAATGCTAGCCAGAACAAGGCGTGACTCTCAGAACCGCGAAGCCAAAACCAGGGACAGGAGGAACAGTACCACAACTCGTGGCTAGTTACAATGAGCAGGCTCGTCTTCGGCGCCTCAGTCTTCGGCGGCGTCTCTGCTGCGGCCCCAGGTGGGGCCGGTGCTGCTGCGGCCTCCCCGGGCTTTGAGGTGCGAAGACTGGATCCTATGAATTTGCAGACCTGTTACGTTCATGGATGGCTTTGGCACCGCTTCTATGGTCGATGCTGTCCCGATCCAGTGTGGAATTTATCGGGCTCGGAGCTTCGGATGCGAGCGGTCATTGGTGCAGTGCCAGGTGCAGCTGCCTCCAGGCTACGCTTGCACCAAGGCTGCAAGGTCCTGGAATGTGAAGCAACTGTCTTTGAATCGCTGGCGGGCAGGTCCGCGGAGAGGTCAGTTGGCTGAGCTTCCCGCCACCCTCAGAAGTAGGTGTTGGCCGATGTTGGTGGTGAAGTTCCTTTGTTCTCAGCCTCATTAACTAGCCTCACCGTCGTGGTCAGCATCACACGGTCCGCACGGTGCGGCTCAGCAGTCAATCCCAGTGCAAGCCGCCGGACAGTTGCCATTCGGCTCATAGCTTTCAAGTAGCACTCCATAGATCTCTGTAGGAAAACCGTAGGACCATACCGTAGGACACCCCAGGAAGCGGATGTTGCGCGTCTATTGGGCTTCGGGCAAACTCGCCCTGGCTCTCGAGCCCGAGGAGTTTGCGCGTGTCGCAGCAGGGCCTTCCCCAGTTCGGGGCCTCAAAGAGCATCTGCAAAGTCAGTGCAAGAGGCCGAGGGCTTCCCAACATTCCTCTTAGGACCACACAGCAGCGGGATGATAGACATACCTCGGAGAAGACGACCAAAAGCCTGGAAGTGCCCAAAAGCCTTTCACGTCTTGTCTGTGCTTGCTCTACCTACAGTTACAACTGCTGTTGCACAGAATGACATAGGGTTAACTATTAAGTTCTATTGCTCGACATAATTCTTGCGGTCCTCAAGCCCCAGGTCTAGATTCAGGCAGCGCCTGCTTCGTGATGGTGCTCTCTTGGGCGAGGACGCCACCCTCGAATTGCCATTAGAGCGACTCTGCTGCGAGATGATAGTGCTCAGCTTGTTGTTCCACGCATCTGCCAATCCCAGCCGAGGCTCCAGCTTGTGATTCTCCCATTTAGCCATGCCACGGACCTGCAGATCACTGAGCGACTCGACCCAATCTGGGAACGGGACGAAGCATTCCTGCAGAAAAGGTCAATCAGGCGAATGGACCCTAGCTGCCAGAGGGCCTCATGGAGATGATATCTCACTCCCTTCACTCCAATGCCTCCCCCAACAACTATAATATCACACGAAGGGAAGACACTTGCAAACTACAAGCCGAAGGATTGACAGTTCAACCCTGATCGTTCAAGCTTGGATCCCTCGAAGGTTCCACGAAAATACCAGCAGCTCAGTATAACAGCGCCCGCTCAACTTTCTTTCCGTCCTATGGAGCATGTCAAAGCTTCGCTGACTATGTGCCGCACGGATGGTGCACAAAGCAGCTTCAATACTCGACAAGACGTAGTAGCAGCCTTTCTAGATGTTCATGGCCGATGGAGACGCTCAACTCAAACCCGAAGCTCCTAGGCTACGACGCGCTGTCGAACGCGATCAACTTCCGGAGGCAGAGGGTGCCCTAAGCCCTAAACTTACTATCTGTTCCGTTGCAAACCGTGATCCTTAACCTCTGATCCGCATAGCCATAGCCCAACATGAAGCACCAAAGTTCCGAAACCCTAGACCAGCAAAGGCTCTAAACTAAAAGTTGTGAACTCCCAGAAACCCTCAACTCCAGGTGGAGGCCATCCTGCAGCGGCCACAGGACCGAGAGTGCAACAGATGGCGTTGATGGTTTCAACGCATCCTTCACCACGGTGTCATCTGATTTTCGGGTTGTCATGTTGAGAATTCTGCCGCGCAGGGTCCATATCAGGGTTTCATGTGTTGTGAAGTTCTCAATAGGACAGCGATTTATGGAAGCTGAAAGGGGAGTAGGAGGAGAAGCAGAGGCTTCCGAGCCTCCAGAGCAGGATGCAGATCTCTCTGTTGCCCGCGACTGGACCACAGCACTGCATGTGGCAGCAGAGCATGGCTTTGTGGCAGCCGCGAGGCTGTTGCAAGAGGCCCCTTAGCCGGCATCAACTTTCTAGTTGTTTCTCATGACGCGCAACTTACTTCGGGTGTCGAGTGTGGGAATTAAGGCTTGCGCAGACGTCGACAGGCCGGACATCGTGGGGTCCACGCCCTTGCTAGTGGCCGCAAAAAACGGACACCTGAGCATGGCACGCTGGCTGCTGGAAGCACGGGCCGATCTGAACCTTGGCCAGTGCTTGGCTTGGAACTTCTATATAGGCATGCTCCCGTATAGCACATGTACAGCAGTCAGCATTGCTAGGAATGCATGGACACTGAGATTAGTCAACGGCCTCTCAGGAATGCCAAGTGCTTTCCTGGAGGCCGCTCGTTTGGGCCCACGCCGCTCTTTATGGCGGCACTAACTGGGCGCCTTGAGGTCGCTCGCCTCCTCTTGGATGCCCGGGCGGACAAAGAGAAGTCCGAGGCCCATTCCACCCCGCTCTTCGTGGCATCACAGCAGGGACACCTCGAGCTCGTGCAGCTTTTGCTGGAAGCCAATGCCAACAAGGACAGCACTAACGAGGAAGGTGCGACCCCTCTGCTGAAGGCTGCGGAGCGTGGGCATGCGGACGTGGCCAGGCTCCTTCTCGAGGCTGGTGCGAGCAAGGACCAAGACGAAAGACTTTCGAACAGGTACTCGTAGGACTGAGTCGTGAGCTCTCTTCCCTACAGTAAGTGGCACTCCCGGCACTTGCGAAGGACAAGGCCGACTACTCCGGGTCAACTCCTTTGTTCGTGTCCTGTGTGGCCGACCGATTGGAAGTGGTGCGACTTCTTCTGGCATTCGGAGTTGACAAGGATGCCGAGAACAAGTACGGGGACACACCATTTTCCATTGCATGCCGCTGTGGCCACATGAACATCGCAGACCTGTTGAGGGAGAGCGGAGCCCATCAAAGCAACCAAAGTGCCAGCAAATGACGGTTTTTCTCGGAATCCTAGGCCTAAGGCCTGGTTCTGGTACTGAGAGCTTCGAAAGGAAGTCGGACAGAGCAGCCTTACTGCGACAAATCAGCAATAACTCGTAACGATCGCGTGAAAAACGAGACAAATTCCACCTTCAGGCCTTGAGACGGTGCATGTGCGGCAGTGCAGCGGTACCCAGCTCTCCCCAGGGCCAAGCACTGTAAAGCACAGCCTTCCCCTGGGAGCGGTCCCAGGTATCGATGCAGGTTCTGCGGCGCCCGAGGAAGGTTTGGAATGTTAATCGGAGCTTAAGAAAGCTAATCATGGCAATGTCAAGGGCAATGTTAAACCAGATGTGCCAGAATTGTCAAAGCAAATCGTTGAAGTAGACGTACATGAATCCGCGCGAGTGCTAGAGACCAACGTAGCGATGATAATGCTTGTATTGCGGTTGATAGCCATACGAACCATGCTAGCTAGCTACTAGTACCCAGATCAACAAGAAGGGTTCTGACGGTACTCAGAAATTGCAGGAGCTTGACTCTTACATGACGTCTCGGGCGATGCCACAAGCACCCCAGGCGCAGATGTTGTGACTGTGCATGTACTATACGTGCACGTGCATGTTTGTGTGTGAGTGTGTGTGTATATACATACATACATACATACATACATACATACATACATACATACATGCGTACATACATGCATACTTGCTCATACATGCATACATGCATGCAAACATGCATACATGCATACATGCATACATGCATACATGCATACATATATATATATATATACATGCAAGAGAGGCCGCTATGTGTTATGGGAACGCCTCCGTTTTGGTTTTCAAAGTGTCAAAACCATTCGATATAGAGAAACGATCACAGAAGAACATGTCACAAACGAAGGGGTAAGAGGGGCTCTGCTCTCCTCAGCGTGCCTTTGGCTTGCGTACCTGTTCTTCCAGGTTGTGCAATAGTTCCCAGGGGAGAGGGTATAACTGATTCACGTTGCACTTCCTCCTCTCTTCTCCTTTTTCATCCATGGCAAAGAGGAGCAGAGTCGAAGGCAATCTGAGTTTATCCTTTCCACACCTTCGCTCTCACTCTTATCGCTTCCTCTTCATTCAGTAGCGACAATGGAAGGGAGGTCGAAGGGAAAAGGAGAGGGGAAGAGCTAAACGGAATAGGTATCCTCTGCTCCCTTTCTCTTGACTCACATCAAGCCTCACGTGGGAGGCACAACGAGAGGACCGAATAAAATGGTAAGATGAGAACACAAGTCACAAACGCAGAGGAAACAGGAGCTCACTTCTCCTTTTGCCTTCTGCTTCCCTCCGCGTTCTTCCTCCTGTGGGAGACGTGGTAGTACTGAAGACCGAAAACCCGAAAACTCTACTTCCACTGCCTAGCAAACCCTACATGATACCGTTATACGCATGGTAGCAGGCGCCACTGTGAGGATAGTAGTATGTCTATGGATTAAGCACCGGTACAACAGGAACGGAAAATCAAGTTGCTGAATAGCATGAGCAGTCAGCTCATAAACCCAAGAAGACGTTCACATAATACGTAGAGGTCTCTGCCTCATATTGTAGATAAATAAATAAATCATTATGTGTATATATATAGATATAGATATAGTATGTATATGTATGTGTGTGTATAGCCGCAATCGGGCCGTAATCAGACTGATAATTAGTCATGGCGGCGCAGATAGTCGATACTGACGGCATAGGCTTGCTCGCTTTTCCGTTACTAAGCTTGGCTCTGAAAGATGGGAAGTGTGGCAAAAGGAAAACAGCTGGCTAGTTTGTAAGTGCAAAAAGATGCGGCTTCCAGGACAGAACAGTTGTTGGGCACCTATATATAGCATCCAGTTTGGGACAGCTCCTGTATGCACACACATTCGTGGAGACGGCCAGAACTGATTAAAGACGCAGATAATATCTGCGAGCACACTGACATATCGGGCGCATGCAAACAAGGCAAAGAGCAAAGCAAGCCTATGAATGTAGTCATGGAGCATAATATATGTGTGTAACTAGGCGTAGAGAAGTCGCAGAGTACAAGAAGCGCGCGCAGGTTTACAGAAAGCGGGGTCTCTCTCTGCATATTTGTACCGGCATGTTTACACACACACATGTGTGTGTGTGTCTGTGTATACGTAGGTCTATATATATATATATAAAGATATGTGACTAGATAAACAAACAACTCTCTAACTAACTGAAAAATAAATAAATGGATATATATGTATATATATATATAGAGAGAGAGAGAGAGAGAGCGATACCGCCGTGTCACACCCTTCCGACGTAGGGCTCTTTCCGCGGAGGTCAAGGGTCGTGTGAGTGAAGTGAGGATTCTTCATGTCACCTTAT